AGATATATTAGATTGTAAACATAAATAAAATATATACTACTATAATGAAATCACTTGTTAACAAATTGATCCAAATATATTGCAAAATAAAATACTCAGCGGGTATCATGGCAGGAGTGTGAGGTGCAAATATAAGTATTTGGGGTGGGGGTGTAAGTGCTTCTCACAATGAATGCACCATATAAACATATTGGAGAAAACAAGCGAATTGTTCCTTACTTAGCAGTATAGTTAGAAAGGCCAAAATATCGTGACAGAGAGGGGTTGAAATAACCAGCCAAGAAAACTGTATCATTAAATAGAGAAACAGATATACGTGTATATAACGACAGTTACTAGAGCTTAGGATTTTTAATAATTTACCAAAACAAACAGTACATGTTTAACTAAACACTAACAGTATTTTTTTCGCTAACAATTTCTTATGATTTATGTAAGAAAAATTGTTATTAATGAAAGTTGTGTGTACTTCTTACGCAAGAATCTTGCCCACTCACCTGCAAGCAAATCTTGCGCAAATCTGCCGCAATCAGGAGTACGTGCGTCGAGTCGATCGATCTCGAGACAAATCATGTACTCGACTGATCGTCAGATTTGTGCACTTCTTACGCAAGAGCCTTGATCACCCGTCGTGCATCAGAATAACCTAAGATCTTGGAAGCAGACTAGATGCAGACTTACACAATTTTGTTGTCGATTTAAATCTTGTGCAAGAAGTACGTTGTAACACTGCTTCTTGACCTGAATTAAATTAATTTTATTAATTAAATTAAACAAAGTGGCCAGTAAGCGCACTAGGTTGCGTGGTGATCAACGCTTTTGTTATTATTTAAAGCATTGAATTTTAAAGTGGCCAGTAGGCATTCTGCGTTGCTGGGTTACATAGCGTTGGGTTATTGGGTTTAATAGCTTGGGGTTTATTTATTTATTATGTTAGGAATTTTGTTGAGTTATGTGGGTTGTTGCGTTTTGCTCCATGTAGCCAATTTGAATTTTGCGCTACTTTGGATGCCACTTTCGGGTGCACTCCTTAGCAGCTGCTGTGTCTCGGTAGTCGCGTTCGCGTTTTCCTTGTCCTTTTCTGCTAGCGCTGCGGTGTCTCTGCATCTCAGCTGGTCGTCCGTTGGCGTCCTCTTCTCCTTCTCTCAACGTATATACAGCTCCCGAAAAACAAACAAATTCGGAGAAGCTTCGACTTCCTGCTTTTTGTATACACGTTGCATCAGCGAAAGCATTTTGGAATATAGAGGCCATTTTGCCTCGTTACAACGTAAGAATTACAAAGACTGTGCTACCAGGGTAGACAAACTAGAAAAGGACTGATAAAGGGTTATTAGTCCGTTTCCAATAACCCACGGATATTCCTGAAGCAGTAATCCTAAATAACATCCAAAGTGAAGTTAAAGTAGTCAAAGTAAGAAGGCTAAGTAGATGGAATAAACAGTCCAACAATAACTCGGAAAAATGGATACCCTGTAAAACAGTTCAACTTTCCTTCGAAGGCCAGTCCATGCCAAACAGGTTTTACCTTTTTGGTCTAACAATACGTGTTTCGCTCTACATAAGGAATTCTGTGCTATGTTACAGATGCCTGCGATATGGGCACACAAGTTCGCACTACCGTAATAAAGAAGCTTGCATAATGTGCGGTAAGATAAAACATGAAGGAGAGCCATGCATGCATGGGCATCACGCCTTTGTGTCTTCACTACAAGGCCTTGCACAAATGCACATACCTGCAGATCTGCAAGGAATAAAAGGACCAAAAAGCTATACAAACCATCATGGCTTTTGATAATCTCCCCTACAGTGACGCTAGACGTCAAGTAAAAAACAGATTTGGTGAGCTCAGACAAAATGCAGATGACTTCCCTGTGCTCCGAGAAAAAGAGCTGATAAAAATTTATAGCACAATTGAGCCCAACAAACCGTATAGCAGTACTCTTAGCAAAAAAAGTACGACTAGCCAGATACAGGAACCTGACTCACAGCAGTTGCATTCAGACACAACAAGGACAAACCCAACGATCAAGACTTTTGTACACCTTAACCAAAAAGGAAAAGATGAAGACTTAAAGATGGTGAATCTAAATTCCTTAAACAGTAAAAATGCCACCAGGTGTAGCAACCAAGCTCCTCAAACAAAGAGTAAAATGGCAGGAAGTATAACAACTATGCTCAAGGACCATCACGTTCCACCCGATGAATTGGCTAGTGCTAATGGGGTGGAGGCTCTCCTTAGCCTTAGCCAAGCCTAGCCTAGCCAAGTCTCAAACTCTGCATTAAACAACAAGGACAACAGCCTGATCAATGGAAAAAGTCAACTTTTACTACCTGCAGGAATAAAACTAAGGGGAACACTATATACGGGGAAACGAAGCAAGGAGACCCAAAACTATTGTCAAGAACAGGCTCAAGAAGAAAATATCTGACCAAGGACACAACAAGGCTCAATCAGTCTACAAGCTTTAATCATAATTTAAATCTTTAGTTTTAATCTTAACTTTATTGTGTTAATTACTATATGTATAACTTTGTACTCAAATGTTCATAGGTTATACTAACTTATTTTTAGGATTAACACGAACAGTATGACAGGAATAAATATCCTGCAATGGAATGCCCGGAGCACAAGGAACAAGCTCGATTTGAACCACCACTTTCAACAGTTTGATGTGGTTGTAGTGGTGGAAACTTGGCTCCAATCACATGATGAAAGATTTAATATTAAAGGAATCGACGTGATAAGGTTTGACAGAGATAGCATTGAGAGAGGTTGAAGGGTCGCTTTTTTTGTAAGGGATAACATTGTTTTCGATGTTCCAGTCTTTTCATTGAGTGAACCGGGATTTGAAATAGGAGCTATGTGTATAGACACAATAATAGTCTTAAAGTTGAATGCTGGAGTGAACTAACCAATAAAGTCGCCCAACTAGGCTCTTTCCTTTTAGTAGGGGATTTTAACGCCCACCAGAATCTATGGGGCAATACCAATAACTGCAAAAACGGTAAAATTATAGCGGAAAACTTAGATTATGACAACTTCTTTTTACTAACGATGGAAGTCCCACCCACGTTTGCATTACCAGTAATTCATGTAAATACTGAAATATAGATCTATCTTTGATTTCTCCAAATCTGGCTCTTACAAGTACCTAGAAGACCGTAGATGACACGTGAAGCAGTAACCATTACCCTATTTACATAGAACTGAATCTGGAATTGGAATATTTACCAAAAATCGACTATAGATATAAGCTAAATAGACTAGACTGACACTTGCATTATAGAATCATTTAACTATAAATTTTGAAAGCAAGACTTTATAAAAGACTCTCAGTCGATTACTGGGTACAAAAGAAGAACGAAGAAAAAACCTTATCTCATTTAGTGGAACTCAGAATGCGACAAGGCACTTTGTATAAGGAATACCTTTAAGGCTAAATCTTAAGGGCTAAAAGCTAATAGCTTTAAAGCTAATCTTAAGTCCTTACGTTATCGCTGTAGCTTGAAAGATTTTATTAAACACAAAAAAATAATAGCACATCAAAAAAAATCCTGCGAGAGGAAAAGAACAAATCATTCAAAGCTTTTTGTAAATCGTTAAACTGTAACGCAAAAATTTCAGAGGTCTGGTCTAAGATCAAAAGGTTTAAAACAGGGACGAATCGGCCTTTAAATACAAACAGTAATGAAAAATTTCTCAACGAAACACTCGAATGTCTGAACGAGTTATGTACACCAAAAACCTCAATTGACAATCTCTTTGATTTTTCTCTTCTAAATCAGTCACTAGATGAACCATCACACATCCTATCCTCCCCCTTCATATATAAAGAACTCGACTCTGTCATTCAGAACACCAAACTCAATTCTGCTCCAGGTATAGACAGGATCAACTATCAAATACTTTATGCCCTACCAGAATTTTATAAAAGAGTTCTTTTAGATCTGTATAAGGACCTGTATAAAAAGGATATCTTTCCGGAAAAATGGTCTTACTACTTGATATTCTTCCTACCAAAATCAAATCGCATAACTAGACCAATATCTATGGCGTCTTGTACACTAAAAGTGATGGAAAAAATCACTAGTAATAGATTGACATGGTTGCTAGAAAGTAAGGGATTGTTACCTGACCAACAGAATGGATTTCGTAAAGGACGTTCTTGTGCAGACAACCTCACACGTCTAACTGCAGACATACGAGGTCCTTGTATATGAACCGCAAGACCGTGGCAGTATTCCTAGTTATCAAAGGAGCTTTCAACAGTGTGATCCCAGACATTCTTCTCAATGATCTACTCGCGTTAGGCTGTCTTCATCGATTTATTTCCTTCATCGTCAATCTTATCTATGAAAGGTTTCTTATCCCGATAAACTCCAATACTAGAGGTGAATCCAAAGCTAACGTCAGACTACGCTCAAGGACTATGCTCTAGTCCACTGTTCTATGCCTTATGTATATATTGAGCCTTAGTATACTAGTAGAGAGAGAGGCGACACTTCTGAGATTCGCTGATGATGAGGTCATTAATGCCTCATCAGATACCCTGGAATACACCGTTGCCGTGATAAACCAGGTAATGGAGAGAACCGCAAACTTTTTCTCTGAAAGAAGGTAAGTGTAAAAATAGGATCAAGTTAGACCATATTTCCATAAATATTAAAAACTCCACTCTATTTCCAGCAGACTGTAAAGTTCTTGGGCATGTACCTAGACAAATACCTTAGATGGCATCAACATATTGAGTAATAGTATTCAGAAGTCACTCTTCACTTAACATTATTAGCTAATTACGTAGAACCTAGTGGGGTGGCGACCCGAACACCCTATTGATATTATACAAATCACTCATCAGACCTATTTTAGAATACTGTGGTTTTTTGATCCTACCCTGCTCAGAAAATTATTTTAGCAAAATTCAAAAGGTTTAAAATCAAGCTATAAGACTGGCCATGGAATATATGACGAGTACGTCAATCAGTGTCCTCACCGTGGAGTCAAAAATCCCACTTATAAAACACAGATATCGGTACTTGGGTTACTCTTTTTTGCTCAAACTCTTCTCGGTTAGAGAAAATTCTACCTTCCAAAGCATAGAAAAACTATCAGACATTTCGAATTATAATATTTACTCCCACAATTATCAGAAGTCGCTAATTTTAAAATGCTACGAAGAAGTATGGCATCTGGAAGGGCTCATAATGCAAACAGACACATTCATAAAACTTTCGATCCCGTTCTTCCTAAACTTCTTCATATTCACTTACAAATCTGACTGTACATCCGGGTACCAAACTAGCGCTTCACCCAATCCCAAATTAAAGTTTAACGAATTGTTTACACCTGCCAAAAATAACATTTTAATTTTTACAGATGGATCAAAGTTTCATTTGAGTACAACTCATAAAGTAGTTTTCAGAACATGGTCGGATCATAAAGAATTTACATAATCTTTCAATATTAGCAGCGATGCTACCATCTTTTCTGCAGAGTGCATGACACTTATTAAAGCATTTGATTTTATCTTAGCACAAGGAAGCTATTCATACCATATTTTTTCAGACTCATTAAGTGTACTTACAGCATTAAGCAGTCCTCAAGGCCTAAAATATGAATCTCCACTAATTATTAAACTTAAAAATAATATTCTAAAAGCACTAGAAGTGGGTAGAGTATTTCAACTAGTTTGGATTCTATCACATGCAAGAATAACAGGGAATGAAGTCAAGCGATCCCCTACACTGATCTGAAGGATAGGTTTCGTAAATAATGCATGAGTGACAATAAATCGAGCTTATTAACTATATTTCAAACTAAAGGCTCAAATTACTACAAACTTTTTCACAAGCCTAAAATCAAACCCTGGTTCCATAGCTATAATATTACACGTAAAGCGATCGTATCAATGAATAGAATTCGGAGTGGACATACATCACTAAGTTGCAATCTATATAAATTTAAAATATGGACATTGAATATCTTTTTTGGCAGTGCACTAAATTTATCTGATTTAAACAAAGGAATAATTAATATAATTGCCAAATACATTGACAGTATTGAAAAATCAATATAATATTTTACACATAAGCTCATAATTCTGATTCAAGATACAATTAACATCTAAATCAAACAAATGTAATAAATATTATTTTCATATGATAAACTGATTTTAAATTTAAGGAGGTAAATATGTAGTACCTATACTTTAATACATCTATGTAATATATTTCTGTAATGTGTGCATGTAATATTTTCATTTTTTTTTCAGGAACTTTTTTTTTTTTTTCCATATTAACCTTATAAGTAATAGCCTTACACCTTTAAATTGCAAGACTTTGGGAAATTTATAACAATGAGGCTAGCCTCTATATTTTGTTTGGGGATAAGGCACTCAATGTTAAGTGGAAGGCAAACTATGATTTTATTCAATTCCTTAATCATATTCAGCCTTTGCGCAGAATAAAGATCACAATTCCATATAACGTATTCAGACTTTCTTCTTCAGCACCGCATTTACATAGAGGGTCTCTTATAATATTCTTACGATAAAGACTTTCAGCTGAGCTGTGATGATTACAACGCATTCTATTTACAGTAACAATAACGTAACGTGGAAGTTTCTTGTTATTTTACCAA